ATAGCTATTGCTTACATCCTGTGAAAATCAGTTACAGATCCGGTGATGCTTTCTAGAAATATCTTTAACAAAATTTTTACTCGGTATTGTTGAAAACAAAACAAAACAAAACCACCCACTTTAATCATCATTTCCCCCTCTGTAAGATGCAACATTAGTCAAATGGCTTAAATATCATAGTTAATTATCTTCTTTAGCATTCTGAGATCTGATTTGAAGAAATGCACACAGCTGAAATAAAAGGGAAGTAGGAAAAAAAAATAGCCCAATAGTAATTAAAAGCATAGAATTAGAGCTGTTGCTAAGAAATATGACTCACCCTATAGAATTATAGAAAATCTTCTTGAAATATTAATTCCATTGCTCTACCTACTAGAGGAACTGTATCTTCTCTTTGCCCCTTCTGAGATGTAATGAAGAAATTCTCATTTTAAGTGGTAAACAAGCAAAAGAACCAGAAAAGTTATTTTCACAGAAAGTAGGTTTTATATTGCATATGAGAAATGGAGGTATATAATTTTAAATGGTTAGATAAGTCCCAGGATCCTACTGTTTGGATAAAGGAGAAATTTCAGAGAAATTAAGACTTGTATCTCAGGTTGTCTGATTCCAAGTCCAGTATCTCTACCAAAATCCTGCCATTTCCCCTGTCTGGGTATTACACTAGCCTGTAGGAAGTAACATTTAAGAATAAGAAAATTCCTGTCCTGGAAGAGCTGACAGTGGGAAAGACAGATGTGTAGCAAATAATGAGACTACAATGGGAGTACAATATCAGAGAAGGAATCACATGTTATGGGAGCACATCTAAAAGAGTAAATTTTGGGATACTGACAGCTTGCTCTGGGGTTGTGGCAATCAAGGTAGTCAAAGAGTCTTCAGAGGGGAGACAACATTTGAGCTGGGTCTTGAAGAATACGGAAGAGTTTTTCTGGCCCTTGGCTGGTGGAGAGGATGGTTCTAGAAAGAGAAACAGAAACATAGCCTCATGAAGTTGGTGGGGTGTGAGATGACTCGAAGATTCTAACCATGGTGAAGAAGTGAACAGCAAAAGGAGCAGGTGCAGGTATAAGAAAGTGAAGGAAGAGCAATATATAATGAGTTTAGTTTGGAGCTTGCTAAATTTTAAGTGTGTGTGGGTATTCTAGGTGAGAACATTCATTTGATAGTGAAAATACAGATTTTAACAGAGGTGGTGAAGTAGAGATACAGGTTTTGGAGTCATTGGTGAGTGACGGTTAAACCAGTGGCATTGGCTGAGGTCACCCAGGAGGATACTTAATTCAAGAGGAGCAGGCAATGCAGAATGGCACCCTGGACACCAAAAATTTTAACTTAGCAATTCTGTGGTACAACTGATTCTACCGTTTATCTACATTGTGGGTTGAATAGGTTGCTATGAGTTGGCCCAAGACCCAAGCCACCATTTATAAAACTTTCAGTGTAAAAATGAACAGTAAGTTCAAGCAACTTACAATTTAATTTGGGGCCACAAACTGTAAATTGGAGCTTGGGTGTACTTCCTTTACTTATCCTAAATAGTTGACTCCATGGCTCCAGGGTACCTGAATTCGGAAAGCAATTCCTAGCTTAGCCTGCTCATGCACTCTGTTTTTATTGCATTTGAACATATCTTCATCTGTACTTGGTATTTCAGGCCTAATTGGTTCATCTGTAATTCAAGTATGATGACATCCAACCTGCGCAATTAAACAAATTTTGAGTGACTGTCATACTCCTAGCACTGTGCTAATTGCTCTTTCTTCCCTTCTGCTGCTGTAATTGGTACTAGAAGGGAATTGAGAGTATGGTGAATTTTTAACTCAAGTAGGACCTTTTTTGTTAACAATATAGGTGTTAAAGGCACATTGTTTGTAGTGTCAGAAATATTGATGTGGTGATGCTCTCAAAAACACCTCTTTTTAAGGCTTCTGTGTGATATCATTATTCTACAACTCTTTGTCTCATTTTTATTAAAATACTTGTAAAGTGATTTTTCTTTTTTTGTTTCCAGTCCATTTGAGAGATTAAACACTAAACTCTGCTCTTTGGTATGTGTGTAACAATTACCAGAGCTGTAAAAATACAATTACTATTTTGCACATACTAACTATACACAGTGTCCTTGGTTTTATTCAGAATGTACAAATGAAGGAGATAGTTCATTCTGTAAGTGCAGCTGTGTCTTTCCATGACTCCTTAGTAAGAGCAATAGTAATTTACAGGACCAGAAAGGCCTCTGAAGAAAGAACTTCTTTTAATAGCTTATCCTTAGTGTGGGGTAAGGTGGGGAGATGTTCTTGTCTCATTAAACACTGGGTTGTTCCAGAAATTCAAGATAAGTTACGGGCAGTGGAGCTGGGCTGGGAATGCCAGGAGGCCCAGGAGGCCCAGGCCTGGCCAACTGGAAGCCATAAATTCAGGAGAATTAGCACACCCCTGGGAGAAGCCTTCAACCAATGATTGATAGGAGTTGGTGTATGGATACCCCAGCACCCTCACCCATTGGCTCGGATAGCTGATGTCTGTGCTTTATTTACACTGGCTTTACAAGTATGATAAAGCTCCAGTTGCCCAGAGTAGCAGCTGGCGTGACTGCACACTTTATTGTCCACCTTCCTTTCCTTGTCTCACTTCTCCACTCCCCTCCAGGTGTTCGCCTTCACTTCCCAAATAAACCTTTGCACTAGAATCTTTGTCTCAGGATATGCTTCTGGGGAAAGCTAAGAACGAAAACACCTCACCTCCTCTTTCAGAGAGAGAGTTTCAGCACCTAGAACGAATGCCCTCGCACCTGGCAAGGTGGGCATAATAAGCAAAGAACCATAGCAAAGGCATTAGTTGGGTGGCCCAGATGAAGGATTTACCTGCTACAGAGCCCCAAGCAGGGTACTTGGAGAGAGTGCCTGGAAGGGCACTGTGCGCCTCTGACTTCCTTCTCTGCTTGATGCTCACTAGCCCTCTTCCGCTCACTTTCTCCACATGGCACAATTGGATTGACTAGGATACTGTTTTCTAAATTACCACCACATTCCAGCCTGCTTCCTGAGATGGTCCAAGTCATCTTGATAGAGTGGCAAGTCTACGCAGGCCCTTGAGTTACATATTTACAGGCAGTCTCTTGGTTTATTTCCTGAAGCTAAGTATCTGTTATTTCATCTGCCTGGCACCCTGTCTCTTTTCCTGGGTCCGTCACATAATCCCCTATTCTAACCACATAATCCTGTGGGACCCACCAGGTTAATCTACAGAACTGAGGGACATCTACTTGCCATCTTCTCCCCAGACACAGTTGCTTGAAGAGTGAATGTGAGGTGAAAAACTAGAGACGAGAGTGGACTTCTTGGAACTTGGCTAATAAAACAATGGAGATAGGCTAAAAGGTCTACAAGGGGTTAAGGGCAAAGGAGGATCTTTTGTGTTTTTGTGTTTGACTTCAACCAAACTGCAAACTTGCCAATCTTCCTTGATTCCTCCCTCCAGTCTCTATCAGTCTGATTCCTTCCCCTGCCAGCACCTTGACTCAGGTCTCCCCTCTGCTCTTGGATCACTTGAGCAGGCTTCAAACCTCATGCCTCAAGTCACAGTCCCTGTATTCTCCTCTCAGATGCTAGACTGTTCTTTCTAAAATGCAAACCGGATCATGTCAGTCTCTTCTGAATGAAAATCCTTTCCATGAATTCCCATTCCACGAATTCCCATTGCCCTCAGGAAACTGCTGAAATCCTCAGCATGACCGATGAGGCCCTCTGCAGCCCTCTGTCTCCACTTATCTCCTTGTGTAACACACTCTAGCTATTTTGTATTCCTACAGTTGTTAAATGTGCCATACTCATATTTGCCTCCATGTCTGTGCATGTACTATGATTCCTTCCTTATGGAGATCTCCATCTTCCCTCTTCTCCCTTCTCCATGACCTAACTGTCTCCTGCTGGACCTCTGGGACTGAGTTACAAGCAGTCAACCAAATGCAGCATTTTCTGCACCAGAGAGGAATGTGATAGGAGATCTATACAGGGGTCTCTGAAAACCCCCACATACAGGAAAAGGGAAGCTTTTAACCAAGGCTAGAAAAGTTAAATAATGTGCCCAAGATCCCACAGTTAGAAAGTGGCAAAGCTGTGATTAGACCCTGATTCCAGAGCCCATGGTTTTAACCACAGGCTCGGGCTGTGTGTTTCTGGGGACAGGTGACTGGGAGACGCTTCACAGTGGCAGTGGAAGCAGGTGTGCAAGACAGCAAGATTTCCTGGAGAAGTGGGTGGGGAACAAGAAACAGCATGGGTCATAATACCTCTTACAGATACAGCTTCGAACACACCCAAGGCAGAAAACTCACTATCACCCAAGAAGAGGGTGCACAGCTAAGCTCCTTATTTCCTTTGATTCTTTGATCCTGTCAGGAAAACTGCTTTAAAGAGTCTCCTTGAAAAACAAAACTCCCCACAGTGCATTCCTGGGGGCTGTCAGAGATATAGGAAGCCTTTTGTAGGCTTTCTGGCGCGTCTGAAGTCTGGATACTCAGGGAGGGGGCTTGGAGAAACCCTAACGTCTCTTTTTCATGTGTGCCTTGTTCCCGGAACGGCCAGGACTCAGCGATCCTCCTCAGTATTGAAACTGTGCCCAGGCTAAAGCTGAGATGGAATCAAATATTATTTATCTTTGTCACTGCACAGGGAGACCCAGGCAGCCCCAGTCTTGGCAGTAAGATCCCACGTTATCCCCACCCGCCCCCAGGGGCTCCTTCCACCTGCCTTCTTGCTTCCTTTACAAGAGACTAAGCAGGAGCCCAGCGAACGTGCGTGTTAGAGAAGGAGCCTTTGCAGCCCTGCGGCGGGAGTTTGATGCTGGAGCGGGAGCGGGCTGGGTGCGGGGGCAGCCGCCGGGCACGGAGTGCGGGGCGAGGCTCGGCAGGGCCGGCGCGCGTCACGGTCGCCGCGAGAGACGCCGCGCTGCCCAATAGGCGGAGGCGCTCGCCGGCAGCCGGGTGGGAGCAGAGATAGAAAAGTGCCGCGACAAGCGCCCAGCGGCGGTCCAGGGCTCGCTCCGCGGGACGGCCCGGGCGCGCTCGGCTCCCGCACCCGGCTGCACGCCCCGCGCCCGGCGGGGGGCGGCTCCTGCGAAATGCTCCCTCGCTTCTTGCTGCTCTTCCTCCTCCCGTGGGTGCGGGCCACCGAGCGCCCCGAGGGCCGGGCCGACGAGCGGAGCCTGGAGGCCGCCCCGGCCGTGCCCAACGCCTCGCGCTTCTTCTCCTGGGACAACTACACCTTCTCCGACTGGCAGAACTTCGCGGGCAGGAGGCGCTACGGCGCCGAGTCCCAGAAGCCCACGGCGAAAGCCCTGCTCATCGCCGCCTACTCCGGCATCATCGTCTTCTCGCTCTTTGGCAACGTCCTGGTCTGTCATGTCATCTTCAAGAACCGGCGAATGCACTCGGCCACCAGCCTCTTCATCGTCAACCTGGCCGTCGCCGACATCATGATCACGCTGCTTAACACCCCGTTCACTTTGGTAGGGACGCCGGCCGGGCTCGTCCTGCTCAGTCGCCCTCTTGTCTCTTTTTCTCATCTCTCCATTCCCTCTCCCCCGTTGTCGTCCTCTCTCTGTGTCTCTCTGTCTCCCCATCTCTCTCTCTCTCTCCGTCTCTCTCCCCCCCGTCTCTCTCCCTCTCTGTCTCGTCCCCCCACCACCATTTCTCTTCCCCCTCGTTTCTGTCTCCTCTGCTTCTGTCTTCCAGTCGTCATCTCTTAGTCTCTTTTCTTTCTCACTCTCTAAACTCGTTTCTCATCGTTCAACTCTCACCTTGGTTTTTCTTAGTCTGTCAATCTCTCTCTCTCTCAAGTCTTTCTGCCTTTCTTCTGTCTCTACCTCTGTGTCTCCATCTCTGTCTCTCCGTGACGGTGCCTGTGTCGCTGCCCCTCACCTGTCTCTTCTTCTTCCTGTCAGTGTCTATGTGCTTTTGTTTTTCCATCTCTCTCTCTCTCATTCTCTCTCACGTCCCCGCCCTTCTTCCTCTCTTATCACCCCCTAAGCCAGAGCTTTTGCAGACTGTGGCATTGGGTCAATAAATCAAGTGTTTGCAGGCAGCTGCAAATGAGGGACTATTTCCTGTTTCATCTCATTGGGTATGAGCTTGCTTGTAATCAGCAGTAAATCGAAGTAAATGTCAGCAAAGATTATTAGGTAACCTCCCCTCCCTCTGAAGTGCAGCTTATTAAATGCTACCCCCCCCGCCCCCGCCCCCATGGGTTGCTGCTTCGTGCTACCACTGAAATGTCGAACAATTGCTAATTGTTAATGGAAACTTTAGTGCATTTTTCCTAAACTGCTTATTTAAATTGTATTTCCCTTCTGTGGTTTGACGATGAGGCTGTGTATGAGGTCTGTGTCAGGCAAGGAATGAGGGTGAGGTGGGATTTGGCCCAGAGATGGGGCAGGCTGGGCACCTGCAAATGGGTGGCTGATGGCTTCTGGTCCAAGACCTGCTGCTTGGCAATAGTGGTGTCATTTCTGTTTCTCTTAGATTCCAGGGTGCATTTCTCGTGGGTGCTTTGGAACTGTGAGGGCTGCGGACTGAGCAATCATAATGATAGTTTGTTTCTATAGCATGAGTTACATTTTTTTCAATTCATTATTTTTATTTATTATTGAAATATTTATTATTATTTAAATTATTATCAAAGCAGGACTATTCATTCCTCTGTGTCTCTGTCTCTCTCTCTTTTACACACACAACCCAAAATGACAGTCAAGCAAAAAGAAGATGAACCCCCACAAGTCCATCTAATTGTGTAAACGTCTTTCCAAGCCTTACATTTTAAAAGTACTCTTACATTTTATCTCTTGTCCTCACTTATGAGAACATTACTCACATTTTGCAGATGAGGAAACTAAGGCACAGAGAGGTTTGATCCCTTGTCCAAGGCCATCTGCCTAGTAATTGGCAGAGCCAGAAGAAGAATTACATCCCCTAACTTAAATCTAGTGGTCTGTCCACTAAGTCATACAACTTGGAGTGGTGGGGGGTTGGAGGTGCATTCTTGGACAACCATGTTTAGCTTCCACTACTCCAAACAACGAACATTTCCTGTTCTCCTTCCAGCCTACATCTAACCTATTGATGGCCAGGCAGGATCCTCTGGGCTCTAACCAAGGACAAAAGAGCTTCCAAATACTGTCCTGTCTTAAAAGCATGAGAAAACGTCATCTCTGGCTCCCCTTGGCTCCTCCCTTGGTTTCTTCTTTTTGGTGACTGGCCAATACATGGATTCGAACCCTTGACCCTGGTGATATTAATACCACATTCTAACCAACTGAGCTAACTGGCCAGCCTTCCTCCCTTGGTTTGTGACCTGAGACTCTGCATGCTGGGGTTGGGCTGGGCCACCCAGGATGGGAACTGAAAGGCCTCAGGACATAGCCTTTGTGCTGCTGCCCAGAGCCAGGATGCAGGACTGGATGTGTCGCAGACAGAGGAGAGAAGGTGGGGAGGCCACAGACCCAAGGCCAGGCTACGGCTGAGAGCTGGTAACCTCTGCACCGGAGGCTCTCCTGCAAGAAAAAGGATGTCAAGGTCCTAAGAACCCAGTACCCTCTCCAGAATGAGCCAAAGCAGTTTGTCCCTGTACCTGACCCATGGTACTACCCCAGTCCAAATTCCTGTTAGAGCTTACAAGGTGCTGGCAACTAGGGAGAGGGAAAAGGTTGGGGGGAGGGTCTTCTTGCCCCTCAGTCTGCTAAACACAGTCTCCACAGCTGGGAAAGGTGTCCTGCCTTCAGCTGGTTGGTGACAGTGTCCTTCCTCCCTGGGCTCCCTCCCTATCCACTTTATACACCAGAGTCAGCATGAAGTCTGGCTCCAGCCATTAAGAGAAAAGCAAACAATTACTTACAGTTCCCATGGTAGAGACATACACAGCATGTGGTGGAGGCTGGAGGAGGGAGTCTTTCTTTCTGACCTACCAGAGTCCCACCAGAGGGTCAAAAGAGACTTTACAAAGATTGCCATTTCAGTGGGACCTGGATGAGTGGGGATTTCCTGCGTCAAGATGAATGCGCAGTGCAGACAGAGGGCCCAGAGAGAACAAAGGTGAGGAGGCATCAAGTTCACGGTGTGTTGAGGGTACATTGAGCCGCTCAGTGCTGCTGCAGCAGCAGAGACAAGAGGCACAGCGGAGAGTGGGCGGCGGGGGGAGGTTGGGGGACAAGCGGAGGTGGCTGGAAAGGAAGGCTGGGGCCAACGCTATGAATGCACCTGGGTACTCATAGTACTTGCTTAAGGCATCTGGCTTTGTCCTGAGAGCCATGATGATTCTAAGCAGGAGGGAGGCAACAATCTGATCTTTGGTGAAGAAAAAATGCTGCTATGGCTGGCCATTAGCTCAGTTGGTTAGAGCGAGGGGCTGATATGAGTTGCAAGGCCACTTTAGCCAAGATTTGCTAGCACAGCCCACATGCTATGTTGTGACTTTTCAGATGTGCCTTTCCCACTAGACTGAACTCACTCATACAGGCAAAGAATGAATTTTATCATTACACATAAAAATATCTGCTATTTATTTCTAATAATAGCTTTCTGAAAATCTGCCAGACATTGTGTTCTACTCTTTAGAGACTTTTTAAAAATTTAATCCCTACGCTAAGCCTATAAGGTAAAAGATAGATTTTGCAGCTTATTTTATTTATTTATTTTGGCAAATGAGGAAACTGAAGTTCAGAGAAGTTACGTACCTTGCCCAAGGTCTCACAGCAAGAAACTATTAGAGGTAGAAAGTCCAACTCCAAAGCCCACATCCTTCCCAAGCCCTCCTGGCACCTAATGGGGCCAGTCCAAGCAGCATGATCGGAGTTTGTGAACTGAATGAATGAGAATGAGTTGTGCTGGAGAAAATCACGTAGGACCCATGATTCAGCATCATACATGGAAAGAAGGGAGGAGCTGGGAGAGATTTCTGGAGGGCATGCTTCTCAGACTCAAAGATCACTGGGTGGATGGGTGTCAGAGTTAAGGCCTGTCTGTCTCCTGACCTCTGTGGGCTCATCTCCAGGTCCGCTTTGTGAACAGCACATGGGTGTTCGGGAAGGGCATGTGCCATGTCAGCCGCTTTGCTCAATACTGCTCGCTGCACGTCTCAGCACTGACACTGACGGCCATTGCTGTAGACCGCCACCAGGTGAGGGCACCTATCCCCACCTATCCTTCCCTCTCTGGCTTTGCTTTCCAGGGGGTTGTGGGGGTTCAGAAAAGCGTATCTGTAGCTTTCCCAAGATCACGTGCCTATGAACGATGAAGCTGGAGTTAAGACTGAGGTCTGTCTGGCTCCAAGCCCATGCTCCAATCACTAGACCACCTTGCTTTGAGAAGAGACAAAGGAACCTACAAGACCAGTAGCATAAGGACCATGTGACAAAGAAAGACAGGCTCTATTCTGAGTAGCACCAAGAAGTGCAATAAGGACCAAGGGATAGGAGGCTACAAAAGATGCAAATTCAAGGAGGCAGTTCAATATGAGGAAGAATTTTCTAATAGACATGTCCAAAGGCATACAGAACTGCCTGGGAAGCAATGAATTTCATGTCACCAGCCATATATAAACAATGTCTGGATGACAACTTGACAGGGATGTTGTAGAGGAGATGCATGCATCTGGTAAGGAATTGGACTAGCCAAACTTTGAGATCTCTTTATCTCTGAAATGCCATAATTTTGTAAAAATAAACTCTTTATATATTACTACAGATGCTTTAGAGCAAAGTGTGAAAAATTGCATATAAATATTTCCTGCCTTTTCTTAACCTTCCCTTCTAATTGAATAAGAGGAGCTCTGGATTACCTTTTCCTGGCCTATGCTTATCCCCATTTAACACAGCTGGGAGTGGGTCTGAGGATCAGGGATAAGTTTTGCTCACATTGACCACATTGCCATGACATGTTCACAAACGTGGGGCCCTGTCCCAAAGCCAACAGAGTCCCTGAGTGGTATTTGAGCCTCTGCCCCAGGCTGCCACTCCTTTCAGCAATCTGTACACAGGAGTGTGAAGGGCAGAGATGGCAATGTCCAGAATGAAGACATGCTAGGCAGCTTCTGGAGCCTCGTCCCTTCCTCCTGTAAAACCTTGAAAACATTGGGTGAAAAAAAAAATAGTCCTCAGGACATAGGCAGAATGTCCAATGTGTCCTGTGATGGCATCCTGAGCTGTGGTGGCAGCTGTTTATGACCTCTGCCTCTGACCCTGGGCTCACCTATCCCAAAATGCCTCTTGCAAGAAATAATGTTTCCCATCTTAAAATGAGGATGCTTTTAAATTCCTAAGTCTTGGCTGGCTGGTTATCTCAGCTGCTTAGAATGCAGTGTTATAACACCAAGGTCATGAGTTCAGATCCCTGTACTAGCCAGCTGCCCCCCAAAAAGGTTAAATTCTCAAGTCTTTAAACTTTTTAGGAGCATAGATTGACATGCGGTGGCAATTCCAAAATGCATCTCAGCCCAAAGCCTACAACACTGGCTTTATCATAGGCACATGAAAGCTGGGTCCCATTGCAGTTTTAGTAGATGATATTGTGAGCTCCCAAATAAGTGTTAATGCAGTTTTCTATGACAAGTGGTGAGCATTTTCTGTCCATATCTGTCACCTTCAGACTCTCTCAGAACTCCTCATAACCTAAGAGGTCTAGAGTTGTGTGAAGACGAGATCAGATCCCAAGGAGGTAGAGGCTGACCATGCGCTTGCTCCCCTGCCAGTTTTGCTGTGTGTGCCATGCAAGCAGATCCCCTTCCTGACCCCTCTTTGGTCCTCTCACTGCACCCTGGCTGCCTGACCAGAAGGAGGCATTTTAACTGCCAGGAGTCTCTGAGTCCAGATGACATCTTGTTTTCACCTCTAGAGGCGGGCTGTGGGGTGGGCATGGCTGGACCCTCCCCCCCCAGCTACTGGTACAGCTCAAGGGCTCAATAATGAATGTAAAGGGTGCCTGACTTTGTAGATAGGACCTGTCTATGTGACAAGTGAGCTGCATCGGTCGGATTGCTCATTCAAAACTTCTTCAGCTAGTGATGCAATGTGATTGTTTTCCAGGTCATCATGCATCCGTTAAAACCCCGGATCTCGATCACAAAGGGCGTCATCTACATCGTTGTCATTTGGACCATGGCTACATTCTTTTCTCTCCCACATGCTATCTGCCAGAAATTATTTACCTTCAAGTACAGGTGAGACGGATTAGGAGGGAACAGCCTGCGGACTCAGCAAAGCCCGCCCCATGCCTTCTTCCGAGTCGGCACTGACCAGGACCTGACAAAGGGAAATTGAGCCCCCTCTGGATCCACAACCCTAAGAGTAACGAGTACCTGCCTCTCTCAGCCCTTTTCTTTGCTTCTTTCCTGGTCCATGTGTATCCTCTGCATTTTTTCTGCTTTCTCTCTTTTTCTTTTCAACAACTTTAGCTTCTTCATTCCCTTTCCAGTTTGTCTGCAAAGACAAGGCAGTAATTATCAGCTTCTGTCACCAGGGGGCGTGTCCTCACACACACTGAGATTGGATTCACCAAGGCCTCGATTAAAATGAGCAAGGTTTAAATTCTCTCACACAACCCAGAAACAAAATATGTATGCGTGTGTGTATCTGAAGCAGGCTTCTCTATTTCCCCCCACCTCCTGTTCAGGTTTCTTGATCATATCAGAATGAGAATTTCTTTCTTTCAAACACTCAGGTTTTAAACATTTAAACTAATTCATTAAAAGTGATTGTCCCACTAGACTGTAAGTTTGGGAAGAGCTGGTCCTGTTTCTGATTTGCTACTTCAGTGGTCCCAATACCTACTTCCTGTCTCCACATCACAAGCTCTCAATACATATTTACTGAATGAATGAATGAATCAATGAATGACCTTAGAGTGATTTTCATCATTTTCTAGATGTTCTAGATGAGGTTCCTTAGAAACAGGTCCTGAGATAAAGACAGAGACATGTGCAAATGACTTATCAAGGCAGTGCTCCAAGAATGAAATTCTGCCATTTGCAGCAACATGGATGAGCTTGGAGAAAATATGTTGAGTAAAATAAGCCAGACATAGAGGGCAAAATACCGCATGCCCTACTTATAAGTGGGAGCTAAGAGAGAAAGAAGGAAGGCAAGAAAGACCACAGTGGTGCACTGGACTTGCAGAGGGAGAGAACAGACCTACAGGGGGAGTGTTGGGGAGAGGTTGGGTGGGGGACACGGGGATAATTGCAATTTGTCATGGTGGGCATGCTGATGGTATTGACCTGATCATCACATCTTGGGCACAGGTGCTGATGGTCAGTTCTTTGCCCCGTGAACATGTATAATTAATTAAAAAGTTAAAAAAGGCAGCGCTCCCAGGAGTGAGGAGTAAAGGGTGGGGAGGTGGGATGGGGGAGGGGGAGAGGCCAAGGAAGCATGGGGTTTCAGGGGAAGCTGCACCTGCTCCACAGGGGGCTCTGGGGAAAGCTGATAACACAGAGTTTTCCCCACCTTGAGGTAAGGGAGCTGGGCTTTCATGTTCTTTCATCTGTTGGTCATTGGTTCTGGGCCATCCTGGGGAAGACAGAAACTCCCAGCCACTTCTGGCTCTGTGAATCTGTGGGAAGGGTCTTCTGTGGCGCTAGGGTAGACCTAGGCACCTAGAAGATCACAGGTGCCAGCTGTTCCTGGCCGGGCAGGCAGGAGCTGGGGGGCTGGTGCTCCAGACTGCTAAGGGATCCGAGGGCATTCAGACGCTGCGCTGCCAGTGTCTGCCACAGTAGCCATGTGCTGCCCCACCTGAAACACATGCACAGGCTCCCATGACAAAAGCAGAGCCAGGAGAAACAAGACCTGAAGGCCGATTTCAACTGATTTATAAAGGCCCTCTCCTCAAACTTTAGTATATTGGAATGAACCACACACCCAGACCCCCCAATATTTGGACTCCCCATCTACCCTCACACATAGAGGACATTTTTTTTTTCTTTTGCTAACAAAAGCAAAGGGAATTTTCTCCTTCTTTCACCACTGATGGCCACCAGCACATATAACAAGAGCAACACGCCAGATGGATCTCCCTAAGAAGGGTGAAGAGGACTGGGGTACATTTCATATAAAATAAATACTGGTTACATAAGTGGCCAAAGGAATATTAGTTCAGGCTTTACAACTCATGTTCTGAAATCTCATCATTTCTTTTCTTCATTCCTTAATTCCCTTTTGCAATGGAAAGGTAGTTCAATGGGGAAATCTTAAGATTTCCTTAAGGATGAGTTAGTTTTCTCATTAGGAACACTAGTGTTTCATTCATTCATTCAACAAATATTTACCAGGTCTCTACTATGGGCTAGGAATAATACAAGGTCAAAAGGAGACAGAGATTCAGGTGTGTTCTGTACCTTTACAGAACTCCCAGCCTAGTGTGGGGGAGGGGGACAGAAATGTAATCAGATAATTAGGCTATAGCATCAAAAGCGCTATACCAGAGGGATGCCGCAGGAGCCCAGCGAAGGGGAGAACAGAGCTTCTTGGATGAAGCTTTTCCGCACTAATACCACCTCTCTGTCACCCTCTCCTCTCTCCTTCCCTCCTGTCCCCAGTGAGGACACTGTGCGCTCTCTGTGCCTGCCAGACTTCCCCGAGCCAGCCGACCTCTTCTGGAAGTACCTGGACTTGGCCACCTTCATCCTGCTCTACATCCTGCCCCTCCTTATTATCTCCGTGGCCTATGCCCGTGTGGCCAAGAAGCTGTGGCTCTGCAACACGATCGGCGACGTGACCACGGAGCAGTACCTCGCCCTGCGGCGCAAGAAGAAGAAGACCATCAAGATGCTGATGCTGGTGGTGGTCCTTTTCGCCCTCTGCTGGTTCCCCCTCAACTGCTATGTCCTGCTCCTGTCCAGCAAGGTCATCCGCACCAATAATGCCCTGTACTTTGCCTTCCACTGGTTTGCCATGAGCAGCACCTGCTACAACCCCTTCATCTACTGCTGGCTGAACGAGAACTTCAGGGTCGAGCTAAAGGCACTACTGAGCATGTGCCAAAGCTCACCCAAACCTCAGGAGGACAGGCCACCCTCTCCGGTCCCTTCCTTCAGGGTAGCTTGGACAGAGAAGAGCAATTGCCGGAGGGCTCCACTAGCTGATAACTTCTTGCCCTCCTCCCAACTCCAGTCTGGGAAGACAGACCTGTTGTCTGTGGAACCCATTGTGGTGATGAGTTAGAGGAGGTTGAGAAGAGGCAGGGGAGGGATGTCTCCAGCTGAGGCTGGGAAAGAGCCTGTCCTCTCATCCACGGTCTTCATGGTACTGGAAACAAGATCCTGCAGAAGCTTGAGTTCCTAGGAAACTCTGCCCCGCCTCCCAGCCCCTTTGATGTGAAAACTAAAAGGCAACTACCAACTAGAGCTGTGCTCATAAACTCCTATCTAAGAACCGCTGTGTGGCATGGCACCATGGTTCCCTGAGCAAGAGAGCTGAGGACAGCTTAGGCCCAGCTGGGGGCTGTCAGTCAACTGCAACTGCAACCCTTCCTGCTGCTGAGCATCCGTAAAGGAAACCTGAGTCACGCTTTGGGTGTGGCTGGCCCAGATGCACAGAGCTCTGCTAGAAACAGGGTCATCGGCCACTCCGATAATAAGCCAGAGTGAGCACGAGGTTTACATGCATCACTTTCTGAAGTCATTGGACCAGGATGAATCACAAGTCTTCAATGGCCTGGCTCTATACCTGACAAGAAAGGACCGATATGGGTTCCTCAAAACAGGGACATTATTATTACCACTTTAAAAAATTTAGAAAAACACAGAGAAGGATATAAAAATCACCCCATTATACTATCCATTTGTGAAAACTTCCATCAATGTGCTGTGGGTTTATTCGTGACTTTTCCCTGTCTATGTGTGCACCTTTCTTCATTCTCCATTAAGATTATAATGATCAGCAAGAAACGGGCACGACCGTGCATCCAAGCCCCTCTCCCAGGAGGGGCGTCCGCCAGAAGAATTGAAGAGGAGGTGAAAGAGGAACCCAAGGTGGAGACTGTCACCACGCTGGCAGAACTGGCCCCATCTTGTAGCCGGTGGTGGGAAGGGCCTGGCTGAAGGACCTCTCCTCAGATGAGCCAGGAACAAAACTCAGCCACGAAGCACAATTCTTCGTCTCTCGCGATCACACAGAAACAAGAGGTGGTGGAACGTTGTTCTGTTTTCACAGGAGATGAGGGAACAGGCTTTCCAATAGGCTGGAAATAATTGTGCTTAGACAGCTCATCCTCTCAAGCTGTCTAGACAGGCCATTTCTCTGTGTTGTCTGAATAATGAGGGTTGTTTTTTTCCCACACCAGTTCCTGAAAGAAGACTTGCTGTCAACATCATCCTAGTCGTTCATATGTCTCTTACAGAAACCTATGGGATCCTTATGGAGCTTTATTTCTCAAGGGCCCAACATGCCAGAGAAATCCCATTCCAGAGACTGATGGTTTTCATCACCTTCCATCCTTCCTGAGTGACTCACTGTCACCCAGAAGAGAAACGTGTCAGGCAGAATCAAGCTCAGTTCACCAGCTCTAAACAATTGCTCTCATCACACTGTTTTAGGTGTTCTTTAGCCCCAAGTAGATCCTGAAAGCAAAGCATGGATATGGAGCTGAGTGGGAAACTGAGGTTTGAGGGGGAAGACATTTGTCCAAGATTCACTTACATCTCTTGGATGCTAATTGAAACTGAGCTTGTTCACATGGTTTGCCTCTCTGTAATGAACCCCCAAGGTTCTATTTATGGGTTTGTTTGAAATTTTTCAATATACGAGATTTTAAAAAATCATCTACTATACAGTAGATACAAAAGTGACTTTCATGGGGCAGAGACTGTTCTAAGTCCATAGGGATCCCCAAGTGGGTTTTTCAGGCCACATCACTCATGTGCCTGTGCTTATTGTCTCTGTGGTGTCAGGAAGTAGCTAGTGGTGTCATCTTAATGCTGCCATAGAAATTCTATGATCCAGAATGAGAACAGGCAGCAAGGACACAAGTTTGTCCTGCTCTGGGACAGGGAGAGCTTCACTGCCGAGTCCCAGAGAAACCCTTCCCTGGAGGAGGACCCACCAATGGCCCCGTAGGTCTGCTCCCTTCCTCACGCTTCCTGTGGGCCTCAGAGCAAAAAGTGATTTGTATTGGTGAATGTGAAATGTATGAAATTTGAGTTTTTCTGAAGTACTTTACTGTAAACTTCCCCAGTCTTAATAAATTGTATCTTTTGGGTGTGTGGACCGTGCCTCTTGCACTTGTGATTATGTCACAGTTGGTAACCTTTAAAATGGGAATGCAGAGGGCCGGCCCGTGGCTCACTTGGGAGAGTGCGGTGCTGATAACACCAAGGCCACGGGTTCGGATCCTATATAGGGATGGCCGGTTCGCTCACTGGCTGAGCGTGGTGCTGACAACACCAAGCCAAGGGTTAAGATCCTGTTACTGGTCATCTTTTAAAATAAAATAAAATAAAATAAAATAAAATGGGAGTGCAGAGATCATCATCTCCCTAATCCCAGCCTTTTACAGATGAGGAAATTCAAGTGCCGACAGGGCAAATAGCCAGTGAAGAAACCTCTCAGTCTCCTCTAGCGCTTCCTCCACTGAGTCGGCTGCCAAGTCCCCTCTTCTGTGATCATGAGTCTGTGCTGCATGTTTTAACGCAGGACTCCATCTGTTCCTCAGTGATTCAGGAGGAGGCAGAGCTGCCACTCAAGCCTCGAGAGTGATCTCCCACTCAGCAGTGTGCTGTGGGCACTGCATTCCCTGTGCTTGTGTGGTTTCTGCCCCACTGGGCCTGGGGTCAGTGTAGCCACTATCCTACCAGGTAAGCTGGATGGGAGCCTTCATTGTATACATAATTACCCTGATGCCATCCAGAGCCCAGGAAATCAGTTTTAAACAATTTCACAGAAGGTAGTAAATAGGAGTAATTTTCTGAGCCTAGAAAAAAATCTGAAAGAAAAATGAAAGGCGTAGGAGGAGAAGGGAACCAAGCCTTGCTTGCTGACACTGCCTGTGTTTGTGCAGTACTGTGCTAAATGCTTCTGAGCTCATTCTCTCATTCACCCTCACAGCAATCCTCCAAGGTGTGAATTATCATTTCTGTATAGCAGATGAGGAAACTGAGGCTCAGCAAACTTAAATAACTTGCTAAAGATCACACAGCTAAATTGGGAAAATGCTGCCCTCTTGGAGATTTGGTTCTGAGAGATGTGTAGAACAAAATCTTAATTTTTAAAAAAATCTAGTGTTCTCCAAATTCCCTTGATTAAGAGATACTTTTTTGTCTAAAACCTGCTAACTGTCCTAAAAACTGGTGCTTGAGTTCCATACTTTGAGAAATGCTTGACTAGGTGAGCCCCAAATCTCCTTGCAGCTCAGTGGTCAAGGAATCTGCAGTTCCAATACACACAAGATGTCCTTGCTGCCTGGTGAGCTCAGTTCTGGTTAGAATCATCTTCCAAGCAAGCTCCTAAGTGACTCCTGAGTTGCTGGTGCCTGCGTGACTGACCGTGACAAGGCAAACAGCCATCTCACAGCCAGCCCGGGCCTCCAGGGCCTCAGGCAGCCTGGGCAAAAGTCAAGTAATTCCGCTGCTGCCAAGCTTGTGGTGACATTGCTACCAGACCTCTATGGGGATGGGAGCCCTTCCAGAGTGTCTGGGGCTGTGGAGGAATCTGAAAAGACTGGGTCTTGGAGCATCCATTGGGGAAACATTCCTGTCTTAGATGGTAGACATGCTACCTGCCTCCTAGTGCCGTGGAGGCTGAGTGTGAGTTAGCATCTAGCTTCAGCATCCCTGTGTGCTCCTCAACTTTCTTTCATTTCAAGGAGTAATTAGGGAAGGAAAAAAATATATATGCAATGCTGGATGCATTTGGAAAAAAAACAGTGGTATTTAATGTGGAAAAAGCCTGTGAGGCTGGACAGTTCAGTTGGTACAGCATGGTGCTGGCAACACCAAGGTCAAGGGTTCAGATCCCCATACTGGTCAGCTGCCAAAAACAAACAAACAACAACCTGTCTCCTTTCTGAGGGTTTGTAACCTCTCTTGCAGCGAATAAGCTATTTGCTGCCTCACGGGGACAAAGTGCTTGATTTTAACAGCTCCTCGTCTACTCCCATTTCTAGTGTACCCGAGACTCTCTTCAGACTGGTCATGGATTTAAAATGTTCAGCTTAAATACAAAGACAACAAAGTGATGACAAATACAGGACATAAGATACTGGTTATCGCGGATCGGGAAGAAGGGTACAGGCTGTTATGAGCATGTGGTGGGGACCATGTGTTAGATGTAGATAGTTGTCCAGGTTCCAGCTTCTGTTTAGGGCAGTGGGTTCACAGGTGCTTATTACATTATTAAAACTAATTAAACCAGTAACTAACCAGATAACTAAAAGCAGGTCGTACACAGGCCAACACTAAGAGTGTGCCATAAACCACAGATTATAATTACACCAATCCTGTGCCCCTGTGGTCTATAAATAGAAGAACAGTAAACCAACAAAAATGGAGACTGAGAGGTTCAGGCCTTCACTTTTCTTCCCTCCATCCTCCAATCAAATTACATCCACATTTGTATTACAAAAACGTTCAAATAGAGATCACTGCCAAGACAACCAGTATAGGACGATTGCAAAGCTAGGGCGATAGCTACGGGACTACGCCAGCTGTCAAGCAAGGCAAATCATAACTAAAGCCAAAATGTTTCGTTATTTTAGTTGTTAATTTAGTTATGCTAAGTTTCCATTTATATTGTCAGGGCTAGGGCTCAGACCCTTCAAACCCACTGTACAGACTGGGTCCCCAGGCCGCTCACATGCAGGTCCATGCTGGGTAATTGGGAAAGATTCCGGGAGCTGTTGGCAGATGACAGGAGCTCAGTCCTCAGCAGGAGCTTACAGGTCCGGTGGTGGTAGGGGCAGTGGCCTCGTGGAGAGTCCCGGGGGCACCAGCAGCAGCAGCAGCAATAGTAGCCTCCCCATGCCGTGCCCCCCGGGATCCTGGGGGTGGGAAGCACCGTGGATCAGAGCTACTCATCCTTTATAATTAAGTCCATAACCCAGGACACCTGGGTGCACATGCGCACTTACACTAGACAATAACCAAG